TTTTTGAATGTAATCTGGAAAAATCGTTCTCCTCCTACCCGCTTATTTACCCAACCAATCTATTATTATTGTTATGTTATTGGCCGGTAGCCTTTACCAGCAGCACTACCTTCGAACGAAGGGAGAACGCGTGGATAAACAGAATCCAGAGAAGCGAACACAGAATGCCTTCCAGAGAAACTAATGTAGAATGCCTAGATAAGTATGTACGTACTTGTGTATGTGTATTAAATTGAAAACAGAAAATACAGATTGTCTTAAATGATTAAAATTAAATAAAATTTTTATAAATCAGTTTTGGTATTTAGATCTTACTTAAAAATCGGTATGTACATACATACATACATACATATTTATTCAAACTTAAAATTGTATTTCCTCACTAGTGGTGGCAAACTATCGATGGGACATCACCATCGCAACAATCGATGGCGACCACTATCGGCCATATTTAAAGTTCGATACTATCGAGGAATTGCCATACGTATGTATGATTTTTATGTACCATATCTATGTATATATATATAATACGCGAAGGCTTTTTTTGTGCAGCATAAAAGATTTGTACCGTTCGCCCGATTTTCAAGAATGAGATGTCAAATTAAAGGGCTTAGTCTGTAGATGTGCAATAAGGTTTTATTTTTTCGAAAAGACTTGCCACCTGTTAAATAATTAAACTCAAGTTATTTACTAATCAATGCCCTCAGATCCGCACCGTCCGTTTGATTTTCAAAAGTGAGGTACCAAATTAAAGGGCTTAGGGTGTGGATGTTCAAGAAGGTTTTACTTTTTCGAAAAAAGTTGCCACCTGTTAAGAAATTAAGCCCAAATTAATTAAAAAATTTAAATCAATTATTAAGTATGGGTATCATTCGAAATGGTTTTGAAAAGGCTTTATAACTTAACTACTTATAGAAGCGTTGCTACTTGTTAAAAAATGTAATTCAATTTTAATTAAAGGAATTTGGTAAGTGAATAAGGTATCGCTAAATGGGTGTCATACAAGAGAGGTTTAAGAAGGTAGTAGTTTGGAAATATTTTGAATAGGGTTGCCACCTATTTGAGAAGTCTAATTTAACTATTTTATACCCAAGTTGTATGAAATATTAACGATGGATGTCAAATGAAAGAGCTTCAAGAAATACTTAGTTTGACAATTTAGAACATTTTTGATATGTGATTTGCCCCAGTTTAAAGGGCTAAACTAAAATTATTTAGTAAGTTAAATGAATTACTAACCGATGGTTATCAATGGAAATTGGTTTAAAATGCTTTATTTAAGAACTATATTTAGAAGGGTTGCCACGTGTTTAAAAAGTTAGTTTCCACTTAATTCGTCAGTTACTTGAAATATTTATAACAATGTCAGAACAAAAATTTTTAAGGAAATTTTAGTTCGAAAATAATTTTTAAGAGGGTTTTGAAAGTGTTATTTCGTTTAATTATACATAAGTTAAATGAAATTTGAAAATATGGTTATCAAAAGAACGAGTGTTAAGAAATCTTTGAATTGAATATTTGTTTTTTTTTTTGTTGAAAAAAATGAAGCTCAAATTATTTAATAAGTTAAATGGATTGTCAAAAGATGGGTATCAATCGAAATGGGTTTGAAAATAATTTATTTCTAAACAGTATTTAGGAGAGTTGCCATGTGCTTAAAAAAATTAAATTCAACTTAATTTATCAGCTAATTGAAATATGTATAGCAATGCCAGGTGAATGATATTAGTTTGAAAATACTTTTAAAGGGGTTGCCACCTGTTTAAAAAGNAAGTGAATAAGGTATCGCTAAATGGGTGTCATACAAGAGAGGTTTAAGAAGGTAGTAGTTTGGAAATATTTTGAATAGGGTTGCCACCTATTTGAGAAGTCTAATTTAACTATTTTATACCCAAGTTGTATGAAATATTAACGATGGATGTCAAATGAAAGAGCTTCAAGAAATACTTAGTTTGACAATTTAGAACATTTTTGATATGTGATTTGCCCCAGTTTAAAGGGCTAAACTAAAATTATTTAGTAAGTTAAATGAATTACTAACCGATGGTTATCAATGGAAATTGGTTTAAAATGCTTTATTTAAGAACTATATTTAGAAGGGTTGCCACGTGTTTAAAAAGTTAGTTTCCACTTAATTCGTCAGTTACTTGAAATATTTATAACAATGTCAGAACAAAAATTTTTAAGGAAATTTTAGTTCGAAAATAATTTTTAAGAGGGTTTTGAAAGTGTTATTTCGTTTAATTATACATAAGTTAAATGAAATTTGAAAATATGGTTATCAAAAGAACGAGTGTTAAGAAATCTTTGAATTGAATATTTGTTTTTTTTTTTTTTTAAAAAAAAAAAGCTCAAATTATTTAATAAGTTAAATGGATTGTCAAAAGATGGGTATCAATCGAAATGGGTTTGAAAATAATTTATTTCTAAACAGTATTTAGGAGAGTTGCCATGTGCTTAAAAAAATTAAATTCAACTTAATTTATCAGCTAATTGAAATATGTATAGCAATGCCAGGTGAATGATATTAGTTTGAAAATACTTTTAAAGGGGTTGCCACCTGTTTAAAAAGTCGAATTCGTTTTACTCATACGAAAGATACATAAATGAAACATCGAAATATTAGTCCCAAACGAAAGAGTTTTACGAAAACTTTAGGCTGATAATTTTTTTAATTAGAGTTGCCATCTATTTTTCTTGAAGGTAATCACATCTGCACCGTTATTTAGAATTTCCAAAACGAGAAGTCAAAATAAATAGCTGGGATTCTGAACAGGTTTTATTTTTTGAAGTTACAGGGAGATTTGAAATGTGATGAAATGAAAACCGACACCATGCGAGACCTCTCATCACCGAGAAATGGTTGCATTGCATGTGTTTCATTATATGTAATAACTTTTACAGAAAACTAGTGTTAAAGTTTTATAAGTAAATGAACATTTTATAGTGTCGCGACATATTTTTCTTTTTTTCTTTAAATCTTATTAATTTTTTATAAAAGCACAGCTTATCGTCTAACGAAAACCATGTGAATCCAAACTTTGTGCAACAATTAATAAAAGTCCTCACAATTTCACCAAAATTTCAAACTTTGGAATCAGAATTTTGAGAAAAATGTTTGGTATGCAATTTTATATTCTATTACATTTTACTATAATAAACAGTGTCATGCATTTTTTTCTTTATAAAGAAGTTCATTCCATATAAAAACGAACTTCTTTATATAGAAGAAAATGCAAAAAAGTTTCAAAAATCAACGAGATTCTTCAGCAACTTAAAACTGGCAATTTATTATATAAATAAATGGATTCATATAACCTTCAAACGTAATTTGTACATGTATTTTTGCTGATTCAAATTAAAAAAAAATTCATCCACACTATCGAGACTATCGATGGCAGCGCGCTATTATCAACTTTGTTTGCCACCAATATTTCTCACTCATGTACTTCATTTCATTGACTGACTTCAATTTCGCTGAAAATTAAACAAAGCAAAACATGATTTTTATGCCATGGAATTTTCCACAGGAAGTAATGGTAGAAAATAATTTTTGGGTATTCATTCTATTTTTCAGCTGGCCACGGTGAAGAATTCTACTTTGCATGCCCCGTAATAAATCAAAGCAGCGAAATTGGTAAAATATTGCAGAACATTCTACCATGCATTACCGGGAATGCCTAAATGCGTTCTAGGACACGTTACAACTAAACGCGATTACCGATTTCTTGCTGGGATGCTACTGCAATCTTGTAGTATGAAAAAAATTTATGTATGTATGTATGCACGAATATGTATGTATGTATGTGCATATGAATATACCTATGTATGTATGTGTAATGTCATTCCCGCGAAAACAAACATACCGTCCCTTGGCGTATCCACCAAATGCAGCACGTTTAATGTGGCACAGAAAAAAAATATTTTGGTTTGCCTACTCTATAAATTTAATATGGAATAATTATAGTAAAAGCTCATATTTGGTAAGTTCAGTTAGAAATCTGCTCAAAAGTTCTGGGGAGAATAAAGGTTGAATTAGAAAGTATGGGGCATAATCATAGTCAAGAAAAAGTAGGCTCTAACTGAGTTAGCGCATGGTTTTAAACCAATCTGTAGATTAAGTGTATCGCAGTCGTATTAGTGATTGGTTTGTGAACTGACGACATCAACACAGCGAAATGTGGTGTCGATTCAAACTCAACATTTGAAAGCACAATTACATGTATGGCTGTAGCTGTGTGTACAAAGATGCTTGATACATTTGGTTGTTACCAAGGCTGTCCAGGTTCAATCCCCATCAGCCGGTACATGAAATTTAAGATTTTATTTCATTTAATATTTATTTATTTTTCTTAGTTATGAAAAAGCCTTCGTGAAGTGTAACGTGAAGTAAACGTTTATCGCATATGATCTAAATATAAGCCTTATTTTAAGGAAATTATACTCCATGTAAGGTCTTGTTTTAAGGGCTTATGTAAGCCTTACTTTATATGACCTATAAGACTTAGGCATAAGGGTGTCCCTCAGAGAAAGAGAGAAAACCTTATGACCAGATGGCATCAACACGACAAAATGAGGTGTGGAATAAGGAATGTTTCATACGACTGACTTTCCTTACAGATTTCATTTAAATTAAATTATAAAGCTTATGGTCATATAAAATAAACTTTATATAAGGCACAAATTTTTTGGAGGGTATACTCGTACATACAAATGTATGTGTATACAGTTCGAATTAGTTGGTTTGCCTTTAACATTTAAAAGAGAATGAATATGTAAATACATACATACGTAAATGTGTGTATGGTCAGTGCGTAAAAATTCTGTATATCTGACGAACTGATAAACAAAAAAAAAACAAGTTATTCATAAGAGAAATGGCACATTTAGCTACACGCACTTTAATACATTCACCGTCAGAAACAACCGATTAGGGTATTTGCAAATTTTACATGTGAGAGGACCGTACGCTTGTAACAATTGGCTTCGACATATAAATAACACAAAGTCTTCTCTATTCTTCATTAGAGTTTAGATTTCACGACTGTTACTACAGCAGCTAACCGTCTAAGAAAATGGTAGGTGACTCTGGCTGATCTAGCTTTTCAGGATTTAGTAAATTTTATATTAATAAATGATTTGTCATTGCAGAAACTTCTGATTGTTGCCTTCGCCTGCATCGCAGCCGTGACTGCTGATGTTAGTCACTTGCCTAGTAACGATTACCTACCACCCATTCAAGATGTTCCGTCAGTTGAGGCTCCAGTTTCCAACTTTATTCCAGAGATCACTGCTCCTGCTCCAGTTTTCGCCCCTGCTCCGATTGAAGTTGCTCCAGCCCATATTTTGGCTGATGATGGTTACCGCTATAAGACACACCGTCGTGTTGTGTACCGTCGCAACCGCCGTGATGTGAGTCACTTACCTTCAAACGATTACTTGCCACCAGTTCAAGAAGCTCCAGTTGCTGCACCAGCAAATGATTACTTGCCTCCAGTACAGCAGGCTGCCCCAGCTCCAGTGTATGCCCCCGCCCCAATTTCAGCTCCAGCTCCAGTTGCAGTTGAAGCTGCTCCAGCCCATATTTTGGCTGATGATGGTTACCGCTATAAGACACACCGTCGTGTTGTGTACCGTCGCAACCGCCGTGATGTGAGTCACTTACCTTCAAACGATTACTTGCCACCAGTTCAAGAAGCTCCAGTTGCTGCACCAGCAAATGATTACTTGCCTCCAGTACAGCAGGCTGCCCCAGCTCCAGTGTATGCCCCCGCCCCAATTTCAGCTCCAGCTCCAGTTGCAGTTGAAGCTGCTCCAGCCCATATTTTGGCTGATGATGGTTACCGCTATAAGACACACCGTCGTGTTGTGTACCGTCGCAACCGCCGTGATGTGAGTCATTTACCTTCAAACGATTACTTGCCACCAGTTCAAGAAGCACCAGTTGCGGCACCAGCAAATGATTACTTGCCTCCAGTACAGCAGGCTGCCCCAGCTCCAGTGTATGCCCCCGCCCCAATTTCAGCTCCAGTTGCAGTTGAAGCTGCTCCAGCCCATATTTTGGCTGATGATGGTTACCGCTACAAGACACACCGTCGTGTTGTATACCGTCGCAACCGTCGTGATGTAAGTCATTTACCTTCAAACGATTACTTGCCACCAGTTCAAGAAGCACCAGTTGCGGCACCAGCAAATGATTACTTGCCTCCAGTACAGCAAGCTGCCCCAGCTCCTCTTCCGGTCTATGCCCCGGCCCCAGCTCCAGTCCAAAGTGAAGCTGCGCCAGCTCATGTTTTCGCCGATGATGGTTACCGTTACAAAACTAATCGTCGCGTAGTTTACCGTCGTCATAAATAATTTCATCTTACCAGAACATACATCATTCAGCCAGATTGATTTATTCACTATAGCTCTAGTTTGAGCTTAATTTGTAGTATTAATACATAGACATGTATGTATGTATTTGCTTTGGAAACTGAAAATATAAACATTGAATAAAAATTTAAAGAACTTTGAAAATTAATTGCTGCAATTTAGCACCTGTTAGTGGAACCTGGATGTTCATATGTATATATGCTTTGAATGCAACTGGCCTCTCATAGCTAAATCGATTTTATATTATATATACATATGTACATATGGCACAGAAGAAGTTGACGACTTTTTTTTTGCATAATAGAAAGTACGGTGAATAAGTCCTTGGATTAAGTTAATTTTTTGTGTTATAGTAGGGTGTTGTGACCGCCGTGCTTAATTATAACTTTAATCACGTTTGTTCGCTACTTAAATTCTTATAGAACCGGATCGTAAATTACTATTTTTTTTTGTGAGCACCTGCACGCTTGTTTTGTTAGCGGAGCGAGTTCTTCGCACATCACTTTAAACTCATATAAAATGAACACCATCTTCAGAGGAAATATCACTTTCGTTTGGTTTCTTCATTCAGTAGGAGGTTAACTATTCAAAATGGTGAGACATTTTTAAAAGTCTAAGACATATAAGACTAGTTGATCATTAATAAATTCTTTGTTTGATTCTGTTTTCAGAAACTTTTATTGCTGGCCTGTGCTTTGGTCGCCTACGTGACTGCGGATGTCAGCCACTTGAGCAACGAATACCTTCCACCAAATCAAGCTGCCTCTGCTCCGGAACCGAGCTACAGTGCTCCAGCCCCAACGTATTCCGTCGCTGCGTCTGCCCCAGCTCCATCATACAGTGCTCCAGCCCCAAGTTATAGCTTTGCGGCTTCTGCACCAGCCCCAGTTTACAGTGCTCCAGCCCCAAGTTATAGCTTTGCGGCTTCGGCACCAGCTCCAGTTTACAGTGCTCCATCTTATAGTGCTCCGTCTGTATCTTATGGTGCCTCTTCCCCTAGCTACAGCGTAGCTGCATCCGCTCCAGCTCCATCATACAGCGCTCCGGCTCCAAGTTACAGCGTTGCAGCTTCTGCACCAGCTCCATCTGTTTCATATGCTGAACCAGAATATGCAGCTTCTGAACCAGCACCTGCTCATAGCTTCTCATCTTCGGATGGCTACCGATACAAAACTCAAAGACGCGTTGTATACCGCCATCGCAGACGCCGTGATGCACTTTCAAGTGAATACCTTCCCCCAGCAGCTTCATCTCCTTCTGTAGAATACTTACCACCGGCAGCATCGGCTCCAGCTCCATCTTATTCCGTATCACCGTCCGTCTCCTATGCGCCAGCTCCATCTTATCAATCCGAATCATACGCTCCAGCCGCTTCTTCCTATTCGGCGTCATTCGCCGAGCCATCCTACGCTGAATCTGCCCCGGCTCACAGCTTCTCTTCTGATGATGGTTATCGCTATAAAACTGCTCGTCGCCGTGTTTACCGTCGTCGCCGATACTAATCTGTATAAGAGAATCAGATCGACTAGAGAATTTAAAATGAAATTTATTCACCATCTGTGGTCTGAAAGGGAAAACATATAAAGAACATCAAAATAAAGAATAAAATCTTTTTTAAAGAGAAAATTTTTCGGATTTTACTTTAACGCTCAGTTATGGGTCAATTAGTCTAGACGTAACTTACGTAAGAAATCGTAAATGCTTACTCAACAAGATAACTTAGCCAGAAGCGAACAAATTTTGTTTTCGTATTTTCCTTTTCAGCTAATTGTCAATTTGCCGCCTATAAGCCACTTCAGAAAATTCCTAAACAAAATTCCATTAATGATTTCTTACATAAGTTAAGCTAAGTCTATACCAACGCAACGTGTATCCTTACAAATATTTATGTAGAATAACTGAAAAACGAATTTTCAGCGGCTCCCAGACAGAAAACAATTCATAAGTTCGATTTTCATCGAAATGGAAATTTTAATTTTGAAATACATTTTAATTTCGAATTTTCTGTATGCTTGGATATCTTCACTTAACAGCATTATTTGCCGAATCGGATAATAAATACGATTTTTAGTAATAAATCGACACCTGGCGTTTTAGGTTGTGAACTTAAATTATACAGGGACCCATTCAAATACACAAAAAAAAATCTTTGTTAAAACCCCTACAAGAATTGTTTGATGGAAACTAACACATTCTCATTTATCTTACTAACACAATTGCCAATTTTGCGTTGGTTAAAAAGAGACCATAAGTTGGAGGAAGACGGAAGATTACATGTACACAAATGTTTACATCAGATTTTTCACACTGCCCTTTAGAATTTGATAGAAACTTGTAGGTAGCCAGTGACAGAAATCTCTATCAGTCTTGCCACTCAAATGATTTGTCAAATGATAGTCACTGTTCTTGCAGGGACCGTTTCGGTCGTTTTGTAGGAGTTCACTCACAAACACACGTACCGAAGAATTATTTATGTATTTACAAATAACTAAAAGTTTCTTAAAATAAAAGTATGTTTGGAGGGCGTCAAGCCCCCTTGGGTAATAACACAAATGGCAATAACGCCAAATTTGCTTTATTTCACTTTTAAATGGGAAATAATACCAAAATCTCTATTTTGCCTTATTTCCCATTGCTTATTTACACTATTTGTAACCAAAAAAGTTTACTGACAGAAGGAAAAATAACTTTGTTTATTCCAAGAAAACAAGAAATGTGATATAATTCATATGAAGAAAGTAATATTCACGAAAAAATTTTATTTATGAAAAATCTAACAAAATATAGGAAAAGCGTCGTCTTTAATAACTGCTCGGCGAATTGGGCATAGCGCTTTTGTATGCATTTTATCTGCATGCTCTTTAATAGGTATGTTGAAAACATTGTTGGCAAAAAGAGATGCCGTTTTGATCCTAAATAGATCCAATTGGCTTAATTTTTAGACGAATTTTTGTGAGATACTTATTTTTTCCGATCAGTATAAATGTGGATACTTTTTTAAATTGGCTAAAAATTTATAGTTTCTATAAAGTGCTTTTCCTTCAAAAATCTAAATTTTAATTAAAGATGGTAGAAAGCATTACGTTTTCTAAATGTATTAAAAATCACTACTTAAGCGTGAAATGAAAGCATTTTATATTTTATGAACGAAGCAATGAACATATGAAGAGATCTCTCCAAAATAGGTGTTTTAATTAGCTAAAAAGGATGTTTTAAGCAAGATCTTAATATATATATAAAGTAAATAGATACTCTTCTGTAGTAATCTCTTTCATATCACATATTTTGATTTGTTAATTTAAAAACAAAGACGATCTCAATGTAGGTTAAAATACACCGTTTAAAAACCAAATTTGTTTTATTTAAGGAAATTTGTATGAATTTTAATGAAAAGTCTTCAAATACGCCCTAAAATTTTTTTATTTATTTGCGCACATTAAGAGAGGTAACCAATTTCCTCTTTTAATGTGTGCAAATTTGCAACCCGTGTAATAAAATTAAACACTGCCTGTTTGCTTTTACATAGCAAATTTGTCGCGAAGAGCAATTTTACACATAAAATGTTTAAAATAGGGTAAATGTGAGCCCCTAATGCTTTTTGTTAGTAGAAAGTGTATTTTAATTTTAAAAATGTCTGCAATTTTAAACATTTCATGTGTATATTTTAAAGATCTCAAGTTCAAAATCAAATCCTGAACATCTTATACGTATATTTATACAGATTCTTGTTGAAAAATAGATACTTTTCAGTAGTAGATTTACCTGCACTTTTTAGAGTGTACAGATAGAAATGTAACATATTAATTACTATTTATTATACATACTTACTTTGCAAATTATGCACAAAAAATGTAATTTATAAATCTAAATTACAAATGTTTGATCTTATGAAAAATATAATAAATTAAATGTTTTCCTTTAAAATGTTTGCTTTTCTTACAAATTATGAGATGGATACGTAAAACAAAAAAATTGGATACATTTGGATGCACTAAAAATTCGAATTAATAGCTTCTCCTCCGATTTGTGGCGTGCGCCTTGACGCCGACTCCGAAGGGCGCTTGTATTTTTATGAGAAGCTGTTTTTCTTGGCAGAAATACACTCGGAGGCTTGCCATTGCCTGCCGAGGGGCGACCGCTGTTAAGAAAACAACCTTTTTCCTATATTTGTTTGCGATGTTGCTTTGACTAGGGCTTGAACCCAGGCGTCGCGGAGTGGTAGCGCGCACTACTAACCACTACACCACAGCGACCGCCTAATTACTTGGACATTAAAAAGCAGTTTTAGAAGTGAACTAGTGCCAAGCAATAAAATTTAGTAAGTAATTGATAATTAAGGAATAGTTCATATTATCAATCCTATTAGCGGAACTTCATTCACTTGAAATTTATTTTAATAGCAGGTGTTTGAGTATTTTGAAAATTTTAGAAAAATTTCTAATCAACAGTTCTTTTCAAATGTCTTGAGTTTCTAGATTCTGAAGTTGTTGTAAATTAATGCATAATAATTAACAGCAAGTCTTTAGAGAGCATAGCGGTATACCGATATTGACCAGTTTGATTTAAACAATGAATGTAAAAGTATTTTGAGTGCTTTTATTATCAAAGAAAGTAAAATTAGCGATGTGTAAACGTTTGGGAGATAAAAGAGCAGTGGAGATTTATTGGATCGAAAATTTTATGGAAGATATAGTTTTGTATTATCTTACCATAATTTTAATGCTAACTTGCACCGATTTTTTTTCATTGCTTACTGAGATCAAAACGAAAAAGATAATCAGAATAAGCGAATAAGCTTTACATTTTACGGTTTATTATCGCATTTCTGGGGTTTTTGCCGGACATATAAAATATAGTTACTATGAAAAAATTGCTAAATAAACAATTGGGTATTATTATTGGGAGTCTCCTGAAGAGAAACAGAGCCGAAAAATACAGATTTTAAAGAATTATATACTATTTCTACGAAAAGTGGTTTTTTCCATATAAAATATAGAGAAAACTTTGAAAGATTTGAGCGACCACTAAATATTTTTTTGTTTCAAAGTAAAGAAATAAGGGTATATTTTTACAGTATAGAACATTGCATTAGATTTACGACTTTACCAGATGCTTTTTGGACCACTCTAATGCAAATACTTGTGTTTTTCATCGGAAAGCATTTTATGTACATATAATGGATACATACAGCGCGGGATTTCTGTTATAACTTTAGTATAAAACGGGATTCAGGTTATATTTGGATGGGATTTTATTAAACCAGTTACTGGCAACACTGCTTTAGATCTAGGTGTGCAATATATTCGTTGCGAGCAATTAGGCGTTTCCAGTATTCATAAGCTAATGCATGCATCAGTTACATATCGTCGTTTAAAGTACAAAACCGCGTAACTGACATTGGCGGCAAAAAATTGGATTTGCTCACATCTGAGTATTGAGCTCTTGGCTCAATCCTTATCCATTCGTCCTAAAATATACTATTTAGCCAGAAATGCGATTGCTTTATAAAAAAAGAGAATCATTTTGAAATATGAGTGTTTTTACTCTCTAGAAAATAATGTATGCAACCTCACATACGCGGTTTTGTACTTTAAACGACGATATGCTTATATAAACTCACATATTAACAACAACTACATATGGATAGTTTGCTAGAAGAACGTCATAAGTAATAAAAAAAAACATTTTAAAGAAACAGAAGTACTATGTTTTGCTTACACTTGTACGGTGAGTGTCGGTGAAAATCATATAGGATACTAAAGTATATTCAACAATTTTATTGAGCTTGAGGACGTTTTCAATGAAGAACTATTGATGAAAAACAACAACAATTTATAAATGTTATTTCGGAGATCACCTGCTTGCTGCTGCCAAAACGCTATTATTTTCCCAGCCTCAATTTTTGTTGTTGTTCATTCCCTACCAAAACGTTTTGAAGGCTCGATGCTATTTTTTTTTGCTTCTAAGTGGATGTTGAGCTTAGGCAACAGCGGACTGATATTGATGTGGGACATCTTTTGAATACCAAGCTTTTAATTCTTCTGTGACCGTTTCGATTATTGGTTTGTATATAGAATCTGTATAATACACTTCACAGCCGTCAGAGTTATGATATTGTTTCGATGACATTGGCAACAGCATATTCTTGGTTTCTGGGTCTAAGTTTTCAGCTAATTGTGTGGCATTTGACTTGAAACTTACATAGAAGTAATCTTCCACATGGATTCTTCGACAGCTTAGTGTTGCAACCAAAGTTGTTACAATGTCTGATAGTTTCTTTCCGCAAAAACCACAATCAGTGGCTGCGTTTGAAATTCAATAAAAAATATAGTACGGCCACCAGATTTGACGCTTTTGTTGCAGTTGTTCTACTTTTCCATTCATTAATTTTTATATACGATTACTGCAAGGGTGACTGTAAATTGAAGAACCGAATCGTGTTTTTGTACTCTTCGTGTCTCGCAAAGCTGCACAATTTTTTCTTCTAAGAAGCGAGACAAACCTATGTTATTTGGTATTGAAGAAGAAATGATGTGACTTTTTTGGTAAGATCTGATAATTTTTTGGAAGTGCAGTTTTAGCCGTTTTTGAAATGCTGTTATTCAATTTATGAGATAAGCACGGTGTCTTCGCAGCTGTTGTGCTTTATTTTTGCATTTCCTTGACGACTCCACCATGGGCGTTGCCAGGTAGGGGCAGGGGGGTGCTCGAGCCCCCCTAACTTTCAAATTTTCCTTATATATATATAAAATAGTACCCTGAAATGCCAGCTTAATAGGGTCGAGCCCCCTCCGAGGACGGACTTTACCACTTTATTGGTAGATGTACCCACTTTTTAGCTATATTTTATTTTCTACCATTTTTACCAACAAAGGCTAAGTTTCGACCATTTTTTTTTGTAAAGTAAGAAAATAAATATATGTAAATTATCACGGTATACATATACATATTTTGTCATCGAACACACCTAGTATAAACATGAAAAGTTAACTCTGACCATAACCAATTAAAAAGTGAAATTGCATCTCTATCAGCTGGCACATACATCTGTTATGGGAACAGCCGAAATTGAACGTGTTCTGCGTGATATTTTAATTTGATGTTTCGCTCAATGAAAAAAAAGGAAACGCACGCAAGCCTAGGGTTAGGACGCTACCTCAAAGAACCGATTCCCTTTCTAATGTATCATCGATTCTTGTACAGAAAAGAATTAAACACAAGATTGCGATAAAATAAATAAATATAAATATTAATGGCAAACTCGATGTTTCCCCTTCTGACAAGCCCTTAACTATATTTTGAACGAAAAGAATGTTAATGGTGATTAAGATTGCTGAGTACAAGCGCTACAATAAAACTAACATGCTTACCATTCGATTCCATGTACTTTTAAGTGATTGAGTAACTTTGCTGTATCGTTCGCTCGATTTCAATGAAACATACACCGATTTAAAGGATTTAGCTTCCTCTAATCTAAGGGGGGCGTGGCATCTGACATATAGACTAAAATGTGAAAACCACTAAAACCAATTATGCCGGGGAACTAAAACTTAGCACAGATGCATAGATTGTAAATACCCTACTTACGGCGAAGAGGGGTAGATTTTGGAAAAGGGGGCGTGGCACCGCCCATACGCGTATCTCTGGAACCAATTATTATAAGTTAATGGAATTGTATACACCTACATTTGTACACATATAAAATCGCAAGAATCATTCAATTGGGAACCATTTTCTCCCAGTTTTTAAAATCACATTGAATGATTGATGCATTTTGTGCAAAATTTGTAACATAAAATATGGTAAAATTTGTTAGCCCAATCGTGTGATGAAAAAATATTGGGCTCTGGCCCAGTCTTAATAAAAATCCGTGTGAAACCGCCGTTAGAGAAAGAAGTATTATCTTTTGTTGTAAACCTTCAAGATACTTTATCAACCGTTAACGATTCCGATGAAAAAAAGAAAGAGTTTATGTATGTAGATGTGGGCAATTTAGTTTTTAACCTACAAGATATTTTAAATTTTTTTGAAGACCGTCCACTGCTGTACACACAGAGGAAAGAAAATTTATTTAATAAGGGAGGCTAATAAATAAGAGGTGTTTTACCACAACTGGTCCCTATCTTTGGCATAGTAGAACCGCCACCACAAGGAAAAAAAACCATATACGTCCTAAACAATTAATATTTTAACCATAAATAATTATGTACTGCTTATGTATATACATATGTACATACATACATTAGAGTGGTCCAAAAAAAAATTTTCCAAGGTAGAGTTTGGGGCACCTTCCAAAATTTTTCCTTTTGCCGAAAGACGTGCTGGTAAACCTTACGTTTCTAAGTGTACATTTAGAGGATGCTCATACGCGATACCTACGCTCTTTTAGCAACTGCTAAGTCTCTGCCCATACATGCTCTTGATGCTCATATTTTACTCGAAAAGTATTGTGTACATATACTAATCAAATAATTGTTTAAAGGTGCTCGTAAACGATGAGAGTAAATACCTTGATTCCGAATTCTCACTGGTATTTTGTTCTTATGAGAGTCAGAAAAATCTCACTCGTTTCAGNTGGAATTGTATACACCTACATTTGTACACATATAAAATCGCAAGAATCATTCAATTGGGAACCATTTTCTCCCAGTTTTTAAAATCACATTGAATGATTGATGCATTTTGTGCAAAATTTGTAACATAAAATATGGTAAAATTTGTTAGCCCAATCGTGTGATGAAAAAATATTGGGCTCTGGCCCAGTCTTAATAAAAATCCGTGTGAAACCGCCGTTAGAGAAAGAAGTATTATCTTTTGTTGTAAACCTTCAAGATACTTTATCAACCGTTAACGATTCCGATGAAAAAAAGAAAGAGTTTATGTATGTAGATGTGGGCAATTTAGTTTTTAACCTACAAGATATTTTAAATTTTTTTGAAGACCGTCCACTGCTGTACACACAGAGGAAAGAAAATTTATTTAATAAGGGAGGCTAATAAATAAGAGGTGTTTTACCACAACTGGTCCCTATCTTTGGCATAGTAGAACCGCCACCACAAGGAAAAAAAACCATATACGTCCTAAACAATTAATATTTTAACCATAAATAATTATGTACTGCTTATGTATATACATATGTACATACATACATTAGAGTGGTCCAAAAAAAAATTTTCCAAGGTAGAGTTTGGGGCACCTTCCAAAATTTTTCCTTTTGCCGAAAGACGTGCTGGTAAACCTTACGTTTCTAAGTGTACATTTAGAGGATGCTCATACGCGATACCTACGCTCTTTTAGCAACTGCTAAGTCTCTGCCCATACATGCTCTTGATGCTCATATTTTACTCGAAAAGTATTGTGTACATATACTAATCAAATAATTGTTTAAAGGTGCTCGTAAACGATGAGAGTAAATACCTTGATTCCGAATTCTCACTGGTATTTTGTTCTTATGAGAGTCAGAAAAATCTCACTCGTTTCAGATTAACCCTGGCATTCAGTAAGCGGTCTCTAGTCACTAATAGTGACTTTTGGTGGTGAACATGGATTTTGAGACTATTTGGTATTCAGTACGCTGTCTCACGTCTCTAGTCTCAAAAATAAGTCAGTAATTTATCAGCTGGCTAAGAGCCGGTCACAAAAATAGAAGTATGGAGGAAAAGCTTATTTCTTTCCATTTTATTAAAAAAAAACGCGAAAATGAAGCGAGGAAATTTGTTCAGCAAGAATTTCATTAGGAAATAAACCAAAATGCTTTAATATCATACAAATGTATAAAAAAAAAATATTTTTTTTGTTTTTAAAACATTAAAATCTAAAGATTGTTAAAAAAATAAAACTAATAAAAAAAATTAAAAAATACTAAATAAAAAAAAAATATCGCTCCTCGCCCAGTTCCCATTAGGAGTTCGGATAGGCGATTATCGAAGCTCCGGTTTCTTTTCATACTTCATGATACGCCAGGGAGGATAATTTGTTTGGCTTGAAGCAGACAAGTTTTGAAGAACCGAAGGCGCGTGTCTTTTTTTTCTGCTTGCAACAAGCAACCTAATTCATTCTTACATGGATTTATTTCCTGTATAACACGAGGGGAACAAGTCTCTGTCACTCTCTTCGCAATTTGCGCTTTTAAAATATTAGGGTAAGAATGCTTGGAGTGTGCCCGTAAGGGCGGCATGAAACACGATGTTTGAAATAATCACCTTGGGTTGAGTTTTCTGCAGATTTTACTAGAACATCAGCTAGTTTCGAATAAAAATATTCGCGTCAATATGTGAGCTGTTATACATTCTGTATTTAAGCCAGTTTTTATGTTAATTTGTGAGTAGTTTTTGGTTTTCTACATATTTTATGAATATGCACAGTGTCATAACTTACCTGTATGTAAATAATACATTCCGTTCTGTTTAAGGGGGCAGATACGCCAGCGGCACATCTACCCCATGGAGCACATACATCAGCGGCACATCTGCCACATGGGGCACATTTGCCGGCGAAACAACCCCACTTGGAGTCTGGTGGATCTGCTTCACGTGTAACCTCTTTTATAAAACTCACTTTTTTTTAAGAGCCGTTAACAATGCAATAGAAAAAGCTATCGATTTCATTTAAAGCAACGTTGGCGGTATTCCACATATAAAAAAAAAACTATTTTAGAACACGACAATTAACAAAATTATTACGAAGTACATATATTTAGCCACAAAACTTTTCCCAGTAATGCAAAAAAGTGGATAATAGCGACTGTCTACAACCGCTTGCAAAGATAAACTGTCAAAGTAAATAAGAAGGGATGTGGTCGACTGAAGCACAAGTTATCGATTTTCAAAGATCGATAGCACTAGTAACTTTGACGAAAAGGATGGGTGGCGAACCCTTGGGTTCCGTGGAACCCACTTTAGGAAGCTCTGCACTAGAGACAACCAAAATTCAAAGGGTTATGAAAAACGATGTCGAAGTTCGATAACTGGGCGATACAAATTTTCATAAATTTTCGCATTTTATTTTGCCAGTATTTTATGAATTCCACCCAACGATTCACATGACAGATATTACCTGGATTACTTATTTTCCATATGTAGCTATAAACACACCTAGTGCTTGCATATACATATATATATATATGCATATACACGTCAAAAAAAAATAATAAAAAAATCCAGTAATGCGACCGGAATAAGACTCAAATTTTAGCATTTGATATAGTAATGATCCTCCATGAATCTCACCCCTCTAGGACAATAGTAAGAGGTGCCGCCGCGAGCCTTTAAATTTCCCACAGAAAAACGCTCGATCTAATATACATATGAACGTATACAGTGATTGAAATTTATAATTTATTAATGAGGAATTTCGACCTTAAAATAGTGTAAGAATAAGACATCATTAATACTAGTTCATTAGGAATTTCTTCATTCTTAGGGCCTTGCTGCTGGTTTAGAGTGGATAGCTGTAGATGTGGTGGAAAATAATAAGCCGCGTATTTGACAGTGGAGGATTAATTCGTGAAATGCGTGTACGCACATCACTTCTGCTGTAGGATAAAGATACCCACCACATTTAGATGGGTTGACTGAATCTCTCGACAATTGATGTATGGCGTGTATGTATAATTCGCATTTGATGGTGGAGTATTATTTTTTTGACGTCCTTATGGAAAATTAAGCGACTCTTCGGGTTTAGGCTATAAGTAACCAGTAAGCTTAGTTGTTTTGGTTGAATCTGTCAGTGATCATGTTTCTGTTGGCTCTAATTAAGGCAAATTTGTTACTTTTGACGTTCTTTCAGGAGTTGTAAAAGGTATTGCGGGAGGTGTATAGGTGTATCCAACTTTTGAGAGTGGCTTTTCGGTTTCTGGAGTCCTTGTTGGAAAAGTAAGGGGCACTTCAGGTTTGGGATATAAGTAACCATTAAGCTTTGCTGTTTTGGTTGATTCTGTCGGTGATTGTGTTACTGCCGGCTCTAATTTAGGCAAACTTGTTACTTTTGGTGTTCTTTCAGGAGCTGTAAACGGTATTGCGGGAGGTGTATAGGTGTATCCAACTTTTGAACGTTGAGGCAAACTAAGTGGCACCCTAGGTGCATTATATAAATAACCCGATGTTTTTGTTGGATCTGTTGGCGATTGTGAAACTACTGACGCCGCTTTGGGTGAAGTTGTTGGATTAAAAGGAGTGTGTGGTGGAGTATAGGAATATCCAAATTTTTTTGGAGGTTTTGAATTAGTACTTAATGTTTTCGAAGAAACGATGAATGGAACGTCGGGGGGTTTATAAGAGTATCCATTAGTATTATGTGCGGATGGTGTAGCTTTTGTAGGAGCTTCTTTTAATTTCAGTGGCTGTGAAGATTGCGGAGGAGGCAATTTAACTTTCAACTTTGTTGGGAGTGAGAAAGACACGCTCGGTGGTAGGTAAGAGTAGCCAGATGACTTAGTTGGAGACGTAGTATGTGGTGTAGATAGATTCACTGGTGATGATGTTGACTTTGACGGAGCTTTGAAAGGAACTGTTGGTCTAGATATTGCCGATAGCTGATTCAGGGGAACTGAGGGCCCTCGATTTGATGAAGTTGTAAAAGGAACTGGAGGATGTGTGTAGATATATCCTGCCGTCGTTGGATAAGATGTGTGCGTCCTCATTGTCGGAAGACTATTACTAGGAGCCGGAGGGAATTTTTTCGATGGTACAGGGTATACATATCCGGCTGACTTTGGTGGTGGCGAATTCGGTTTCCTTGGCGGAATATAATTTGCTTCATATTGTTGTGAAGGTGGTAGCGGCTCGTCAAAGGACACTTCTGGAGGAGGATAATCGTACCCTTGTTTTTTTATTGCTGGATCATAGGTATATTGAGGTAGGGCATGAGATGCAACCACTGTCAACGCCAAAAAAACCAGAAGGAATTTCTGCAAAAACATAATAAATACGTTTAAATATGGTTGTTGTAAAATGATTTTACTTAAAAAATAAATTATCAATCGAGCTTTCATAAAAACAGCAAAAGCTGTTAAGGTATCTTAAAGTTAATGACATTATGTCAACATGACTTTTTATCAAAATATAATCTAAAATGTTTATCCTAATAATAATGATAACTGGTGAACCCGCATGGCGTTAAACCGCCAAAATTGAATTTAACTTTTTAAACAGGTGAAAGCCTCTTCAAACACCTAAAAAAATATTCCCAATGATTCATCTAAATCATCTCTGAGCGATGAGAGGTTTAGCATGGTGTCGGTTTCCATTTCATCTAATTCAAATTTCCCTGTAACGTTAAAAAAGGTTCTTATTTAAAAAATAAAACCTTATTGCACATTTATGTAGAATCCCATTTCTTTAGTGTAACTTCTAATTTTGGAAATTCGATATAAGGGTGCAGATGTGATGACCTTCAAAAAAATAAATGGCAACCCTAATTCAAAATATTATCAGCCTAAAGTTTTCGTTTGACATTAATATTTCGAAATTTCATTTATGTAGATTGTATATTAGTAACACAAATTCGACTTTTCAAACAGGTGGCAATCCCTTGAAAAGTATTTTCAAACTAAAATCTTTTCATCGTCTGTCATTGTTATACATATTTCAATTAACTGATGAATTAAGTTAAATTTGATTTTTTTATCACATGGCAACTCTTCTAAATACAGATCAGAAATAAATTGTTTTCAAACCATTTAGATTTATACCCACCTTTTGAAAGTCCATTTAGCTTATTAAATAATTTGAATCGAATTTTTTCAACAGGAGGCAGCCTTCTTCGGACATTATTGAAAATTCTAAATTTTCAATTTAAAGATTTCTTAACACTCGTTCGTTTGATACCCATATTTTAAAATTACATATAACTTATGTATAATTAAGCTAAATACCACTTTCAATACAGGCGACAACCCTCTTAAAAATTATTTTCGAAAATTTCCTCAAATATTTTTCATCTAACATTTATATAAATATTTTTTATTTTTCTATCGACACTTTCGGAAATTATCGATATAATTATCGATATTTTTATAGATTTTGTGGTCGATATTTTTATCGAATTTGTCATCGATATTTTTATTGATTTTTTTATCGATTTTATAATCGATTTTATTATCGACTTTGTTATCGATTTTATTGTCAATTATTTATCGATTTTTTTATCGATATTTTTATCGATTTTGTTATCTTTTTTGCTATCTATATTGTTTTCGATACTTTTACAGATTTTCTTGTCGATATTTTAATCGATTTCTCATCGATATTTTTTATCGATATTTTTAATGTTTTAATGATTTTGCTACTGATATTATTATCGCTTTTGTTATCGATGCTTTTATCGGTTTTGTTATCGATATTGTAACTGATTTTGCTATCGATATTATTTTTATCGATTTTGTTAACGATTTTTTATTGATTTTGTTATCGATTTTGCCATCGATATTATTGTCGATTTTGGTATTGATTTTTTTATCGACATATTTATCGATTTTGTTGTCGATATTATTATCGATTTTGTCATCAATAATTTTATCGGTTTTTTACCGATATTTTTATCGATATTGTTGTCGATATTTTTATCGGTTCTATTATTGTTTTTGCTTTTGCTATCGATATTTTTATTAATTTTGTTATCGATTTTGTTATCGACTTAGTTATCGATTTTGTAATCGATTTTTTGATAGATTTTGTAATCGATTTGGTTACCGACATTTATATCGGTTTTGTTATCAATACTTTTATGATTTTTAATATCGATTTGGCTATCGATATTTTTATCGATTTTGATATCGATATTTTCATTGATTTTTTTGTCGATGTTTTTATCGATTTTGCTATCGATATTATAATCGCTTGTGTTATCGATATATTTTTTTTTGTGTGTTCTTTCGTTTTTGACTTCGATATGCTCTTAACCGTACCACGTATTTTACGTTGCCAAGACGAAGGCGCTGGACTGTTCCTTTTTTTAACAGCCGTCGTCCCTCGGCAGGCTGGCAAACCTCCGGGTGTATTTCTGCCAGGAAAAACACAATCATGAAAATAAAATCGTCGTTTGGAATCGGGGTAAAACTGTAGGGCTAACATCAAGGAGCACGCCACAAATCGGGGGAGAAGCCTGGCCAAACACTAACATATGTAAGCGCCAATCTATTATTATTATTACGACCGGACCAGGTTCTGCTTAAGAGCTGGTAGATGTTCGCTGTTTCTGTCAAATCATGAGAGCGAGGGGGATACGAAATCCCATGTATTGATGATAGCAACAGATGATGGTCATTTTTAGCCTGCGGTCCTAATAAAAATTGCTGCATCGATATTCTAACGAATAAAGCCACAGTAAATATGTCAGTAGTGTCGGCCTTAAATCCCATCAATTGTCTGGTACTGTTCTTTCTGGCTATCATTCCGTTGTGTAATTTCTGTGATGAAGTGTCCATATATAAAACGCATTTTAAATCCTGCACTCTTCAGGTTTATCTCACAAACATCAAACTCGTATAATGGCTTTAAAGAGGTCAACTTGGAAATCGATAATTCACGTTTTTCCCCGCCCGCTTTCCCCAAATTTTTCAGAGTGTGTTTTAGTACTAAAGCTGGAAGTCAGAAATATGATTAACCTTTTAAATATCAGATCAATATGTTTGACACATACACATATCTGTACATACTCGGTGATCGATATTATAAGTCGTTGAACTCGGTTTGATTTATGAGAAATCAAAAATAACAAACATTTAGTATTCGTATGGTTTTAATTTCAAATGATAAACTGTATAAAACAAGTTCAAAGTCGAAAAGTGAGTATCAAATAACATACATGCGTACATGTCTATATAAATACACATGCAGTGACTCAAACCAATGACCACGAGTTGATTATTTTTAATATTCGTAATGTTTTTCGAGCTAAATTTTTTTTCTATCTTTCTTTCCTTTAACCAAAACCATATAAATCACAGTTTTAAACTTTATTCAAAATTCATCAAATCTTCATAAAAATTTAAACTTTTTAATCTAAATCTGTAGAAAGTTTTTGGGTATGAAGTTTTATAGCCTATACAATTTTAGTCTAATAAAGTGTTAACCGGCTAAAAATTGCATTGATTTTTGAGAATTTTTTGGAGACTGCTTTTGAGAATTTTTTTATATAAAAAGTACAGCTTACAAAAACTGGAGTTAATTTTTTTTAATTTTGTTGCTAACAGTCTCCCACATTTTATTTCATAAGAAATTGATGCTAATATGGAAAAAAGTGCAAGAATCTATAAAAAAAATTAAATTTTAAATTTAGCCGTTTGAAACTTGCTTTTCATCAGACTAAAATTGTATGGGATATTAAACTGCATACCCAAAAATGTTCTAGAGGTTCAGATTTAAAAATTGAAATTTTGATGAAAATTTGTTGAATTTTCCTAAATTTTGTTTAAATTTGAGACTGCGATTTATATGTTTCCGGTTAAAGCGTGGACGGTATTTTAATAGAAAATAACAAAACAAAAAATAGCTCGAAAAATATTACGAATATTTAAAAAAAAAAAATCAGTACGTGGTCATTTGTTTAAGTCACTGTATATGTAAAATTGGTTTCCTTTGGATTTAATAATGAGTGGGTGGTACATTTTTGGTATATACATTTTTCAAAGAATTTTATTTGTCACTTTAATACAAAATACTTCACAAAATATTCCAAACCGTCAGGTATTAAATTTTATGGGTGTGTATTAGTCATATTAATAATACTTATTTTCCTAATATAATGTACGCACCTACTCTTTGGCGAGTTTTTTCATGTGAACGAAAATTTCAAACTGGTTTATATTACGTGTATTACAGTAATAAATTCCCATTATATATAATTCTTTGCAAATCCAATCGAAAAATACAGCTATGGTCAAAAATTCAGCACCAGATTGAAAGTAAAATTCTTATTTTTAAGAATTTTCGTTTAAAATATAGTTTGATCTATAAAAGAAACCGCATAAATAAAAATTCGACAGCTTGCACAAACTTCCCAAAAATTAATAAAAATTCCAAAAAAAAAATTCACCATAATGTCTACCTTTTTAATCACAACTTGTAGAACATTTTCGGCTATGCAGTTTTGTTCATACGTTACAAGGAATCTTGCACTTTATTAGAGTAAAATTTAGTAGGATAGACAACTGCGCGCCCGAAAATTTGCTAAAGGTCTGATTAAAAAGTTGGAAATTTTGATGAACATTTTTGAAGTGTTATTAATTTGGTGACATTTGTAAAAGCTTTGAAATTTTTATTTATGTGGTTACTGTTATAGATTTTCCATGTATTTTATAAGGGAAAAAACCACTTTTCGTAGAAAATCAATATTTTTCTATCGGAAAACTCTGTTTATCTTCAGGAGATTTTTAATAATAATACTTAAGTGTTTATTGAACCGGGTAACATATACATAAAATAAAACAGTGGCACAAGTGGAAAAAAATCGAGGTTTAAACGGCCTTAAACACTCACTGGAAAACCTCCACAGTTTAAACTTCATCTAAATTGAATTTAAACGAGCTCTGCAATCGTGGCTCTAAGAGTCTGGTAAATAATTTATATTGTGCCTATAGTATAGTTATTAATTATTTTTAATTCCAAGCATATGTACCTAAGTTTGTATTGTGCACATATTATCAGTAAGTTTTTAATTTACATCAATGGCATGACCTTAATGAACAGCAAATTATCTAGATCGTTGTTAAGTCTCTCACCAACAGGTTACAACTGTAGACTTATATTGCCTACCGCGTTTTTCATTCACAGATACTCAATTTAAGGACTTTGTTGTTACCTTATATTGTTCTTGTCTGGAAGTTAATTTAATGCACCCTACTGATAGGTAGAAAATTCCAAGCTTATAGTACAACTAAGTCATGCTAATATACATATGTAATCGGGA